CCATGGCAACTTAATATGGCGATCATTTGTTCGTGTTGTGTTTCAAACTGGCGCGCTGTCCCTAAGTGGCCAAAGAAAATCAATGAATGCAATTTTAACATGCACTGCCAAATGACGTTTTGCCCTGGATCATAGCCAAGGCGGGATTGAGAAAGATAAGAAATCAACAAGATGAAAGAACCATTGCAGTGCAGTCATTCTGATATGTTCCTTATAGCTAGCTTCAATGACAGTTCAGACCCATTGTTAGCATCAACTCTGACTCCAGTTTCAATAGTGCATGCCTGCACACAACCAAAACCTCCTAATCAGCACAACTCCCATAACCTGTTAGTCCCTGTTACTCGTTTTTCTGTTTCAGTGCCTCTGGTGTTTGCTGCCTTGTCCCTGACTCCAATGAAAGATTCTGCATTCAACAATATACCCACTGACAGATCTAAGCGCTTGTTGAGTAAAGTCTTGAGTTTATCACCCAGGTTCTGGTCTCCTGACATTTGTTTTATTTCTGTGTGAAATGCCTTACAGACAAGCTGCAAGTACTGACAGTGAATGTTATAGATGCATCACAATAAGAGAGGAATGCAGGAAGTATACAACGTTGAAAGGATTGGAGGAACACTGCCTTCACATGCAAAAAGGTATTCTGAGAAGGTGTATCACGACAAAGGCTGATGTTGATATCTCAAAGGCTGGAAGAACAAAGTACAAGACAGATCTCTTTCTTTCTCTCTGTCACAATGTTTCTCTTTCCATCTATACCCCACACACAGGCAATGATGTGCATGCGTGCGGGAAAAAAGGACAGAAAAAGAAATTATCTAGGGTTGGCAGAAGTAGGAATCAAGTCAATACACACACACATAGACCTAACACCTCCTCGAGGCTCTCATCTCTCCCTACTGTCACCTCGGCAGTAGCTCTTGTGGCCCTTGAATCCCCTCGATCCCACACACACATCTACAGTATATAGATGTGTATTACAGGGTGTGCCACTTCAGTGTGTAAAGCTGTTAAGCAGCAGCTGCTTCGCTAGATGTTTGGTCCCCTTGGAGCTGAAATATTGATCAGTTCTCGGGCAAGTCAGCAGGGCCTGCACCCCACCATGCCCATGTATAATTGAAGTGTATAACTCTTAGTGTAGCATGCCAGCAGGGAGGAGGAATTAAGCCCTGAGGTAAGCTGAAGGCCTGTCTATGCTGCCCAAGCAGCTCTTTTGTCCATCAATCATTCGACTTTTAACACAGGCTGGTTTCATGGGCTCGCTACTTTTATTGTAGGAAGTGCCATGCCTTGTAAAAAGAGAATAGAAGACAGAACATAACAAGACTCAATGTAGGTTCTTGTTTTATTGCAGGACATTTATCTGGGATTCACACAGTTTAAATGAGGACACCTTGGTGCCATTCAAGTCGACTCAATATGTTAAAGGATTATTGTTATTATTTATTTTTTATGGGCAAGAAATCTTGCGAAGAGACCAAAGCCAACAATCTGGTCTCAAAATACTTTGACTTCCAATAATGTACTACAGTGATCGTGATAACGAAAGAGCATGATACCCAGTGCACATCACGGTATGGCTCATTAA